CTCAGTCATGTGTTATAGCCATGTAAGGAATGCAGTTTTACCCACCCACTGCAGAGAGATGAAATCTTATCTGTAAAATCACACCACTTAAAGTGCATTGTCCAGTAAAATGACTAACCCCCTATAACTCATACGGCAAAAATACAGTGGTAGTCACCATGGCAAAAAATAGGTCAGAAAAGACTACAGCTAGCACTGGATCAGTGTATGGGGTGAACAGGTTCTCCTTCAGAGAACTATGATTAGCTCAGCCTCTCTTGACTTCTACTATGTGTTGCTTGGAGAAGCAACTGTTTCTGTTGCAGACAAATTAGAAGGAAATTGTTTCTTTTAACTACTGTGACCAAGAATAAATTCTCATTAGCAGCAAACTGCATAGTTTTCCTTTCCTTTTTGTAAAACCTTTGCCCAAGTGAAGGGCTGTTACACCACATATAAGCCTGACATCTGAAGAAGATGCCTCATTGTCTGATAAATAGTACAAAATGAAGCAACTGAGGCACAAGAATCCTAGACATACCAATCATACATCAACATGTAATAAAATCAGTCCTCAGTTTCAGCTCTTCATATCAAACTCTTTGTTGCCTCCTAATGAATATGACTCCTAAATGTCAACCTACAACAGAACTCTATTTGAATGGTGGCTTTGGCCCATATTACTCAGGCCTCTGTACCACAGATGTGCTTTATATCCAGGGCATGATGCTTTTATGTGGGTTTGCCTGACCTGAGCATAAGCAGGGAGTAAAGCCTGATTCCCTAGACCGGAGTGACCTGCTCTCCCTCTTAGCACCTTTTCATTGATGTTCTCAATTCACCTGCCTGTAGAAAGATCCCTGGGGAGTATAAAGACTTGAATAAACAAGAAGAAACTGTGATCCCGTGAGCATCATGCACACAAACACATGAAGAAGTTGAGGAAATAGAGATCTGGAAGGGGAATGCAAAGGCCCCACAGCATAACATAATCAGGAAGGTTAATAAAATGGTTAAAAGTCTCCCCCCCTCCACAATGGCCATTGGAGTGCCCCTGAACATCATCTGCAAGCTGAGCTCTTCTCATCTAATAGCTGAGAGGGCAGTTCAGTGCTAGATGAGAGTCCCTGGGTAATGTTCCTTAATGAGATACACTCAAAGGAGCAAGTTGGGCACCCCTCAAAGCTCAGCCTGGCAGACAGCAGAGCCTCGGGCCATGCACAGGGCTGCTCATGTCTGCCCTGCCTCAGAGCTCAGGCAGCTGAGCCGTCCAATCATCAGGTCTACACTTTGTTGGAGCACAGCTGGAACAACCAAGCTGCTGCAAAAAGAAAACTGCTTTGCCAAGCTGTGTTTGTGGACCCAAAGCATTTCTGGAGAAAACTTGAGAGCAGCACTAAATGGCATATCCACGCTGGTAATTCTGCAGAAAAAGGTGCACACCAGGGTAATGAAAACAGGGCAGAGGATTAATTATATTAAAAGAAAATAATTTTAAATGCTTTTCTGACCAAATTCTTGTTTCTCCATTCTAAGGACCGACAAAAAGGAAACTGTACATCTCATTAGAGAGAACTGGGGGAAAAAAAAAAGCATGAGAAGAGGTAGGAACACCTAGTTAGTAGCTAAAGGGAGACTGAAGTGGACAAAAACCTTCTGAACAAACCCAAAAAAAGCCATGAGATTTTATGTCCCTACCTGGAGTAGTGTTTGGAGTGGATAGGTGAGAGAATTCCAGGCTTTGAGGTGTCACTTCTTGATGAGGCTCTGACACCCTGAGCTCACCCACCTTAGTGCCAAAGTTGCTTTGCCATTTGGTTGATGTTTTAGCTCCCACAACAAGACCACTTCTTACCTTTGATCCATCCCCTGGAGACTTTCTTAGTTCAGGAGACATTTGCTGCCCATTTGGAAAAGGTGCTCTCTCTAACCCTACGAAAGCAAGCCTGGTGTCTGCCAGAGCTCTGCTTGAGCAGACTTATTAAAGGAGGCCAAAGGAAACTTCCCATGACCCAGTACATTTCGGAGAAAGCATCAGGATCACAGGGCTCAAATAGTTTATCTTGGCTATTGGGTTTATTTTGGCTGTAACAAATATTTTGGCTTCCTACCCTATCAGTTTGCCAATGAAAACACAGATCCAAGGTTTTCAGACTGCAGGATTGTAGCAATTCTGAAAAATGACAAAGTGAAACACATACCAGCTAATAAAGAGCTATTCATACTATCAATGCCCTCTTGTGCTGACTGTAACTCAGCTTCTGGAAATATTTGGCCTGTTTGCCCTGACACTGATTTCAGAGATTTGTTCAGCAGCAAGTCATAAGGATGCTTTCTCTACCAGCAGCCTCTCTGATTTCTGAACAGTGTATTTCTTCCACAAAAACACAATGCTATCCTATTTTTTTGTTATTAGGAATAACCCAACATGGGGGAATATAAGCCATGAAACAGGCTACCAAAATATCTGTTCCTACTGAAGAGGGTAATCCAGCATTATTAGGTGTCAGTGAGATTCACAGAAGGCAACACCCTTCAAAGCACCCAACCTCCAAACCCTGCCCACAATCTGGAAACAGAGCTTGATCTCCCTATGATGGACTGAACCACAATGCAGATCCTGCCCTTGGAACTTATTCAATGACTACAGCAGTGTTGTATAAATCAGTAAACCAACTTACATTATTCAGCAAAAAAGGCTTTTGTAGCTAAAGGCAGAAAATGCAGAAAAGAAAAATTTGCACACGTAACTCTTCTTGTTCTAAGAATTTTGAGATCTCACCAATCTGTGGCTGGTTATATGAGTAAAAACTGAAAGTTAACTCCTTCCTTTAAAAACTGGTAGGAAATAAGAGTCAGGTACTCAATTTCAGATGTTCTAACACTCAAGGTTAGGAGTGAGGTTTTGTGGAGCATGTGACTCTTCTGCTAAAGGTTATATATTCACAGTTCTTGGTATTATTCTTGGTGTATAACTCACTGCTTTGGTACCAGAGGTACCAAATGGCAAAAATATTTTATTACATGATTAGTCTCTTAGACTCAGAATCTAAAAGACCACTCTCTTATTTCTAGACTATGAAGACTTCAATTTTTTTACCCTACAGAATTATCAGACAGACACAGAAAAGGAAATGATACACAGAGATGAGCAAAGGCACAGATTACTCTGGAAATATCATTCATAAACTCAAGAGCTCCTTTATTCTTCCCTTTTCCTCAACATGGAATCTGAACTTTATACACTAAGTGAAGATCTGCAAAGACTGGGGCTCCTCTAGGACATGAGCTCAGTTCTGCCAGGGACACTGGTCAGCTCACACTCTAGGTGTCTTATAAAAACCATAGCACTACTCAGACTTTATTTCCTCACTTCTAGAACAAAATTGCAGTCATGGGTTTGAATGAAAGTCATAGTGCAGAGAAAAAGCAATAACTGTTATCACAATAAACACTGAAAAATTCAGATTTAAGCTGATTTGCCTGAGGAAAACACAAGGCACTTTAGTGATATGATGCATTATTAATGCAGCAACAGCCACTGGTGCTTTATCTGAACTAGAATTTTAGAATGGGTTTTGGTTTCCTTACTATATGTTTCCCTAACAAAGAATTTAAACTAAAGTGTCTGACTTTTAAAAAAGAAAAGTGTGAAAACATTCAAATATTCACAACAGACAGAATTAATGGACGTTTTCAGACTGCATAATTAACTGGTTAAGTTAGTGATGAAGCAGCAGTCGGATTCCAGCTTTCAGCAAGAGACACCAAAGCTTCCAAGTTAAGTTGATGCTACAAGAAATGTCACTGATAAAAAAAAATAAATACAGAAAAGCAAAGGATGTAAGATGACCAGACAGGGAAAAGGCTGCCACAAAATTAAATGTCATTCACATCTCAAAGATGAGTTTAAAACTGATGTACTCTCATACTGATGCACTTGAGTCAGGAAAAAATGACTGTACATTCTAGAAGGAATTGCAAACAGACATATTGAACTGATACTGACTTTGGAGCAAAGAACAAATGCTTTTTCCAGTCAAGGCAGAGGTCTAATGTTGACGTAAAACCTTCCTCATAATTGCCTATCAGTACATGTTTCTGAACACTTAACTTGTTCTTTAAACTTTGTTTTGCATGTACAACTATTTTAAAATTAATTTCCTTCCAGAAAATTGTCCCCTACAAGTTCAGACAGCAAAAGGGTTCAGTGAAAGAATAGAAAATGCCTCGCTCCATCTTGTGGGCATAAATGAATATTGCAGTGTCTGTTTGACTGAACCACAATGAACCCTGATACTTAAAACATTTAATCATGTACACGAGTATGTTCATAGGTAGAAATATTTTTTAGCATGCACTCAAATCATGTGCTTAAATCCCTGATTAAATTAGCTGTGATAATCACCTGTCCCTCCAGATGCTTATGCAAGCTAGTAGAATGTATTTGTTTTTTAATTTTAATTTCTCCACATAATCACAGGAATGCAGGACCACTAAACACAATGCAAGAATCACTGTGTCTAGTTCTGGAGCCCTCAACACAAGAAGGGCATGGTGTTCCTGGAAATAGACTAGAGGATGGCCATGAAGTTGATCCAATGGCTGGAGCACCTCTGCTATGAAGACAGGCTGAGAGATGGGGCTGATCAGCCTGGGAAAGTTCTGGGGAGGCCTTGCAGTGCCTGAAGAGGCTACAGAAAAGCTAGGGAGGACTTTTTACAAGGGCTTGCAATGAGATGAACAGAAGGGATGGATTAAAATTGGAAGAGGGAAGATTTAGCTTAGACATTAGGAGGAAATTCTTCACCGTGAGGGTGGTGAGACAGTGGCACAGGTTGCCCAGAGAAGCTGTGGATGCCCACTCCCTGGAAGTGTTCAAGACCAGGCTGGATGGGGCTTGGAGCAACCTGATCCAATGGGAGGCCCATGCAGGGGGGGTTGGTTCTAGATGACCTTTAAGGTCCCTTCCAACCCCAACCATTCTACGATTCTACGACTTAAGAAGAAAAGGCACCTACCCACTGGTGATGTCATCAGCTCTGATATTCTTGCCCAGCACGTCCCCATCGCTCATGTAGCCAGTGGCGTCCATGGTGATGCCTTCCAGATCCATCTCACCGCTGCCCTTGTCCGAGATGTCCAGGTGGCAGCCGCTGCTGCCGCGGGGGC